AGCGGGACGGGGGAAGGCTGGGGCCTGCTGCCCCCACTCCGGGGCCGCCGGCGGGATTGCTCCAGCTGGGCAGCCAGCCCAGACGCGACTGGCCAGGGGCTAGGCGCGCGCAGCGTACGCACTGCTGGGTCCCCGCAACAGGCCCTGGGGGTTCAGGCCCAGGCGCCAGAGCCGCAGCCACCGAGCTTGGCCATCGGCCGCTTCCTCCGGCCGCGGCAGTGGGAGCTGCAGCAGCGGCTGCTCCCGAGTCCCACTGCCCAGGTGGGGAGAACAGCCGCCGCCTGGCCCCGCGGGCCGCCCCCCCCTACTCTCCCTCCAGGTATCGCCCAACTGAGTCCTGTCTGCGCTCGGGGCCAGGCCGGTCTCTCACTCACCCCGGCCTCACGCACCCCCTGCGTCTCCAGGGCCTCCCTCCAGTGCTTGCAGAGGGAAGAGGAAGGGAGTGGGGGTTGTTTTTTTGCTCTGCTGCTGGTGTTTTTTTTTTGCTCTGCCCCTCCCCCACCCTAGTAAGAGTGTAGTAGTAGGATTTTATGTTTGTGTTTTGTATAATTTAGAATGAAGGATAAAGAATAATAATGTAGCATGTATTAAATGTATTGATGTATGATTTGATCATATCCTGTCAGCCACCCTTTTTGAATCGGGGAAAGGAATGGCCTAATGGGCCATTGGTAAAGATGCATCAGCCAGAATCTGTGTCTGGGCTGATTTCAAGGAAGTAACAGACCTTTTAGGGTCACCACTTTGTTGTTGGTTTAGCATTTTAAAATAAGAATATGATTGTTTTTCTCTTGCATTGCAATTTGATGTTCCTGATCAAATGTTCTGTGTAAATCAATTCGGTTTTGTGTGTGAATGAGGAATGTGTGTGTTAGAAGATAAATGTGAAGGCCATCACCGAATCAGACGTTCTAGGGAGGAAATGAGGACAGCCGCAAGGGCGCCAGAAGATTACAACATGCAAATGTCAGAAGAGGGCAGACTGACGACTCTAAAGATGAGACAGGAACCTATCAATGGGTACAAGAAAGTTGTGATCAAAACCAGCATGGAGTAACTCCCCGAGAGACTTAATGAAAGAACAAGATAAAGAATGAGAAGGACAATTTAAGAAAACAAGCACTCGTCAAACAACAATTGATTACAGCATGATGGTGCAAAACTCATTGGTCCCAGTGAAGAAGAAGAAGAAAAAAAAAATCACTATATAAACAGGGCGCCTTGCCACGAAACTTTGCGTTTGTCCTGCAAAGACTTCCCCAGAACATCGTGTGACGACCGACAGAAGCTGGCTCCTACCTACCCGTGATCAACCTAGCTGGCCACGAGATTGATCCAGACTCTGGACTGGTAAATATAACATCGACTGGCAGGACAGTGTGTGTGTGACTGAATGCATATGCTAATTGTTGTATCTTCAATAAAAGTGGCATATTGCCTTTTCCCCTGAAAAAGATCCCGTGTGCTTCTTATAAGCATAACAAGAGGAGTCCTATTTAAAATATCAGCTTAAGAACAGCCCCACTGAAGCTTCCATCTGATCTGGAGACTTGCACCAAGGCATAGTGAGTGGAGAAGGTGTTGACTGAACTTCAACTGAGGAATCATACTTTGCAAGAAGTTCTTGATAATTGGCAACTCGTAGTTGAAGCATCACCAAGGATGCTTTGAACAAGAAAGACCCACTTGCAGAGAAGTTAGATCTGGTCTGTTGCTTTGATCTCTGTTGGATAGCATGGACAATCAGACACCCTGGGATGGAATGCCGAAAAAATAATAATTACATCCATCAGAACCTGGTATCTTCTGTCTGCATACTTGGAGATCACAGGGACACATGCAGGAGTAGCTCATATAATCTTTGCCTGTTCTAAAGTCCCCTACTTGATTGGTAAGGCCATTCTACTCAACGATTATGGCTATAAGCATGTCCAATAATTTATGCTGCTTTTCTGAGGGATATACAGAGCACCTGCTAACATCCTCATCAGATCCCAAAAAACTTTTAGTTCATCCAATGGGGCTATAGAGGGAAGCTTAATCGTCTTTTTGGGGGACAAGGAATAAATAGCCAATGGTTGGAGGTCTTCTCTGCCAAGCTCTTGTTCCTCCTCCAACACTTGTTGCCAGAGTCTGCTGAGAAAGCCATTTTCCTAATGTACGGACAGATAACCCCAAGGAGGCCTTTAGGGCCTGTAGCCAATGATTTTAGTTTAGTATCCATTTACTGTGTGATGTTATGATTAATCAATGTTATATTACATATATTCATTGCATGTTATAATCCTTCCAATCAACTCTGATGAAAAGTATTAGCCTGATCAGTATTTAGAGGAACTATGTAGTAGACATGAGTAGGACAAGCTGAAACGCAAGAAACTGTGGGTTGATGCCTGCAAGACTTTGGCTTAGCTATTTCAGGTCTTAGAGACAAGAAATGATGGTGCAAGTCAATGACCGAGAAATAACCCGAAAGATTATGGGGAAAAAGAGGTTCCAACTGGTAATATTACAAAAGTATAACTGGGAAGATTAAATTTAAATTATAAAGTCCTGTGACAACAAATATTGTATCCAGTATGTGCCTTAACTGTGAGATAAAGGTAGTACGTCAAGAACAAGAACCTACACAGCCTATAGAATTCGGGGTCTCTTGTGTTTCTAGGGGACACAGACCAATAAGAAAGAGAGGGTTGACACTTTCATGTACATAGGTAGAATGTAGGTATAGACAGACTAACAGTATAAAAAAGGGTGCCTAGAGTAGGCAAACTGAGCTTCCTATGGGAAACTCCAGCAGGAACAACTCCTGTATTGATGGTCAATCCATAACACCATCTAGGAAGATGTATGTCTGTAGGTATAATTGATACATTGTTCGTTCTGGATCTACAGTCCATAGGAACACATGAAACCATAGGCAAATAACACATACAGTTACAAGAGCATCTATCTTTTAGTACTTTTATTAAAGTTACCAATAAAGTTATAAATGTCACAGCATATACAATTGCTAAAGACAAGTATAATGTATATGGTTTCATGTGTTCCTATGGACTGTAGATCCAGAATGAACAGAGATAATTCTGTTGAACTTGAGACTGTAGCTGCCAGAGCAGAACCCACTGGAGTACAATTAACATTAAATAGAATAAAAGGCTACAGGCCCAAAGTTGGTAAAGTTACTGAGGGGAAAGAGGGCACACAGGAGGGTACCAGTTCAGTGGTTCCCTTCTGGATCCAAATTAATGCATGCCTCTAAAGGATTCCTCCCTCGACTGCCTGTTCACATCCCACTGGGTTATCCACGGTGGGGAAGGGTCACATTCCAACAAGAATAGTCTGCTACGTTCTCCTGAAGAGGATGAGAAAGCTAAGTCCTCATCCCTAGAGGGGGCATGCCAGTCCAGTGTCCCCCAGCTGAGCGAGGACTGTGGCCAGTTCAAACAGGTGATGAAAGGAACCAGCTCTTAAGTCGGTCCAGGACTGGGGAATCTGGTACCGGGCCAAGTCAGTTGGTGCCAAGAATTGCCTCTCTGCCAGCAAGATTTTCTATATAGATGAGTCCATCGGTGCTGCATGTATCACTAGGGCCCCGGTGGTAGGTACTGATTAGCCCGGCACAGGTTTCCTTGGTATCGCTGCTGTCAGAGTAATCTGGTGAATGCACACAGTGCCAGAGAAGGGCCTGCTGCCTGAGCAATACCAGTAGCAGTGCAGTGCTGTGTGAATCAACCATCTGTGCATATTTCACCTTAGTGCTTGGGTTAGGCTCAATCTTAGGATATGATTTTTGTCTTGTGACTGGAGAGGGAGCTGCACCTTTGATCTTTGGTGCTGTGCTACCTGTGGCCCCTTTCCTAAGTTGGTGGCAGAATGGCACTAGAGAAGTGAGAGTGTCCAAGAAAAGGTGGTCTTTCCAGTTGCTTGCCAGGATCTGTAAATGTCTGCAGAGATACCTCTAGAAGATGTAGTTTCAATCTGCTTTCTCAAGCCTCTAGAGTGTGCTTTGAAAACATCTTGTGCAAGGACCAGTGTTCAGA